ACAAGTTTTCTTAACTGCAAAGCTCTCTCTTTAGACCCCATACTTATTCTGTTTTAAAAACTCTCATTGGCTTGAAGAGGCAAGTCTTTGTCTTATGAGTCTTAATCCGTGCACTCATGCAGAACATGCCAATGGTAGGTACTGGAGCACCATAATTTGGGTGTGTGAACTATAAAATAAAGGGCTACAACATCAAAGGCTGTGACAGTCAAATGATTTAACCTGATGGTGCTTCTCTGGACCCTGGGTACCTTCAAGGTGTGTGCCACCACACCTCATTTTTATTTATATTTTCCTGAAAAATACATCTTTTATTTCACATTATCCAAGTGTGTAAGGAAACTGTTTCAAATTTAGGTTAAGGGGACCCTCTGCTTTGACCCTTCTCAGGAAGGCATTATATTTCTGTTTCCTGTCACCTGTCATGTCTGGTTGTGTCACCTTTCCGGTTCTGACCAACACCTGGCATTTGTTGTTTCCTAGCTCACGTTTTGATGGAACATGGGAATTTTTGTGTTTCCAGTTTTTGGTTTTTTGAGACAGGGTTTCTCTGTGTAGCTTTGGAGCCTGTCCTGGAACTCACTCTGTAGCCCAGGCTGTCCTTGAACTCACAGAGATCTGCCTGTCTCTGCCTCCCGAGTGCTGGGATTAAAAGCGTGTGCCACCACTGCCTGGCCTCCATTTTATTTTAATAGCTCAGGTATATGTGAACTTTGGGTTTTAATAATGATTCTGTTTTAGGTTGTGTTCCTTATGTGTCATATTCTGGGGACCTGGTTGTATAGCTCAGGACATTCTAGAAACACAGGAACTGACTCAGCTTTTTATCAACCTCAGTGACTTTAGCTCAGGTGTTCCAACTTAAATGTGAACTACTTTTTTCAGAATTTTTATTTATTTATTTATTTATTATTTATTTGGTTTTTTGAGACAGGATTTCTCTGTGTTATGGCTGTCCTGGAACTACCTCTGTAGACCAGGCTGGCCTCAAACTCAGGAATCTGCCTGTCTCTGCCTCCAGAGGCCTGAAATTAAAGGCATGCCCCACAGCACCCAGCTAGAATTATTTTTTATATGTCTGCCTTTGTGAACTCCTTGTAAATGACATGTGTAGTGGTATAGGACTGTGTTGCCTGGCACCAGCTCTCTTTTAGCTAGACCTCTCTGCTGCTTCTTCAAACAGTTCTTGGACTCTGCACAGACTTACAACCAAGGTTTGTTGGCTTTTGGCTTTGTGATCACAGGCAACACTCTATGAATGTCTTTTCTGTGGCTCTGTGTGTGTATGTGTGTATCTGACTGTGTTTCTGGAAGTGAAGTTCTGGGTTGCAGGTTTAAGGTAGTTTTACTTAGGTGTGGACTCATTACCCACTTCAGATGCTGGCTAAGCAGCCTTGTGTCTAGCTGCAATGAAAAATCTCTTTCCTAATTCATGTCATAGTATTTTTGTTTGTTTGAAGTCCACCAGTCATTTATTTACTTTATACTTGCTGCATGATACCATGTGATACTCTTAGGATATAACAATGTACTAATATGATTAGTCTTTCCCGGTTTCTGACGCTGTAAGAAGTGACTCAGAAGCAGATGTGAGCTTTCTGCTTTCTTCCTTTTCACCCCTCACCCTCTTCATCATCATTGTTATCCTCTCTCTCTCTCTCTCTCTCTCTCTCTCTCTCTCTCTCTCTCTCTCGGTTCTTTGAGAGAGAGTTTCTCTAACAGCCCTAGCTGTCCTGGAACTCACTTCATAGACCAGGCTGGCCTTTAACTCACAGAGATCCACCTGTTTCTGCCTCCTAAGTTCCAGGATTAAAGGTATGTGCCTCCTCATCCAGCCCTATCATCATTATTTTTTTTTTTTTAAGAATCTCTATATTATAGTCAGGTACAGTCTCAAATTTATGTTCTTCCTGCCTTAACTTCAAGTTTTTGTAGGATGGGTTTTTATCACTACTTTTGTTTACCTGGAGCTCTCTTAAATCAAATAGTTAAAAGTAGTACCTGAGGCCTGGTGTTGGTGGCTCACGCCTTTAATCCCAGCACTTGGGAGGCAGAGGCAGGCTGATCTCTGTGAGTTCAAGGCCAGGCTGGGCTACAGAGCGAGTTCCAGGACAGACTCCAAAGCTACACAGAGAAACCCTGTCTTGAAAAACCAAAAGAGAGAGAGAGAGAGAGAGAGAGAGAGAGAGAGAGAGAGAGAGAGAGAAAGAAAGAAGAAAAGTAGTACCTGCATGTTTTGTTTTTCTCTTACACATGAAATAGAATATTGTTTGATGTAAGGGTCATTTCTTTCTCATTGATGTTACGTTCGTGTTATTGTCCCTTCTGTGGAGTTATTAATCACATTACTTTTGTGGTAGCTCTTTTTAGCATTTGGGGCTGGATGAATCTACAGTAAGAGTTGTCCTCTACATATTAGTGTGTTGAGCAGCATTCTTACCCAACTGTGACAGTCACAGATGTTTTAAGTAATTCCAGATGTCCTGAGTTACAGTTAAACAAATGAACAACAACAAAAACAGGAGCATTGTGTGGTGGGATGACTTCAGGGCTAGCCAGATGTACATTCTGAATTACGTGTTGGCTTGGGCTACATAATGAGACCCTGTCTCAAAACAACAGCAAAAATACAGAAAAGCTTTACACGTGATGCTTTTTAAAAATCACAACTATTGAGCTGGGCATGGTGACACAAACCTGTAATCCCAGCACAAGGGGATCAGAGGCTGTGAGTTCAAGGCCATCCTGGTCTACATGAGTTTTAAGGCTATATAGTTTTATTCCAGATTAATTTCTGTGCATGTAACGTGTTGTGAGAAACACAGAACTGTGGTTTTCAGTGATGATGGCAAGCCCTCTGATTGCACACATCAAGTTCTGTGTTTGAGGTACTTTTCTTCTCTAGGTACAGATATAGTTGGCGGGGCTGTTCAGGTCACATGGTTCTAATTAGATTATCTAATTAGATAATGTAGCTCTTCTGCATTTTCTCTGTTTTATCAAAATCTGCAACCTGCTGGGTTCCATGAAAGTTATTACAGCTGTTGTGGCTATTTGTCCCTTCAGGACCCCCTAGGTACTTAAGTCTGGGTTGCTAGGAAGTTGGTCAGCTTCTAAATTTAAGGCAGTCAGCATTTTGAGTTCACAGTAACATCACTAAACAGTTATAGTTCTCACATTTAGCTCTGTAATACTAATTCTCCTCTAATTGAATTTATGTAACTTGTTATAGAATTTTTTAAAAGTGATTTTAACATTTTGTAAAAAATTTTTAAATGTAGTTTAGTTGTGGTGACACAAGACTCAATCTCAGCACTCTGGAGGCAGAAGCAGGCTTTTGAGTTTAAGGGAAGCCTGATCTACATGGAGAGACCAAGTCTTAAATAATAATGATAAATAAATAAGAGCCATCTGTGTCGATGGCTCATTTGTTAAAGTGCCTGTTCTGAAGCATGAGCACCTGAGTTCGGAGTTCCAGCTTCCATGGAAACGTCAGATTTGTGTGTGTGTTTATGTGTGACTCTAGCACAAACTAGGGGCAGGAGTGTGGGATGAGAAGGGTGGGTCTCTGCAGCTCATCGGCCAGCCAGTCTAGAGGAGCTGACCTTCAGGTTCAGTGAGAGACACCCCCAACCCCCCAAAAAAGGTGGAGAGGAACTAAGGAGAACAGTGTTGTGGCTTTCACATGCACACATGTGCACATACCCATGACAACCTACATACATGTGCACACACCCATGACAACCTACGTCCATGTGCACTAAAAAGCAAAAACCTAAAAGCATATTCTTAAATACTTTAAATTTCACTTTTTATGGTTTTTTTTTTTTTTTGTTTGTTTTTTTGTTTTTTTGTTTTTGGTTTTTGGTTTTTTGAGACAGGGTTTCTCTGTGTTGCTTTGCGCCTTTCCTGGAACTCACTCTGTAGACCAGGCTGGCCTCGAACTCACAGAGATCCGCCTGCCTCTGCCTCCCGAGTGCTGGGATTAAAGACGTGCACCACCACCGCCCGGCCACTTTTTATGTTTTAATATTTTTAAATTTTATTTTCTGTGTATGGTAAAATGCACAGCATACATGTGGAGGTCAGAGGAAAACTTACAAGAGTTGATTCTCTCCTTTTACCATGTTAATTCTAGGGACTGAATTTAAGTCATCAGGCTTATATAGCAAGTGATTTTTCCCACTGAGCCATTTCGCTCACCTAAAATAGGGTTGATGAATGGCGTAGCTAGTAAGGCGCTTGTTGCCAAGCCTGATGACCTGAGATCAGTCTCCAGAATCCACGTGGTAGAAGTAGAGAACCAGCTCTCACAAGTTTTTCTTTACCAGTACATGTATACCATGTTGTGTGGGTGCATGCACACATTCACAAATAATGTAATAATTTTTTAAAGAAAAATAGACGGGTTGGAGAGATGGCTCAGAGGTTAAGAGCACCGACTATTCTTCCAGAGGTCCTGAGTTCAATTCCCAGCACCCACATGGTGGCTCACAATCATCTGTAATGATTTCTGGCACCCTCTTCTGTGTACATAATAAATAAATAAACCTTAAAAAAAAAACAAAAACCTTGGGCTGGAGAGATGGCTCAGAGGTTAAGAGCACTGACTGCTCTTCCAGAGGTCCTGAGTTCAATTCCCAGCAAACCACATGGTGGCTCACAACCATCTGTAATGAGATCTGGTGCCCTCTTCTGGCCTGCAGTCATACATGCTGTATACATAATAAATAAATAAATCTTTAAAAAAAAAAAAACAAAAAACCTTAAGAAAAAGAAAAATAGACTGTGCTTGCTTTGGCAGCCCATATACTAAACTTGGAATGATACAGAGAAGAGTAACATGGCCGCTGCCCAAGGATGACACGTAAATTTATGAGGCGTTCCATACTTAAACAACAACAACAAAATGGATTGTTAACTCTTGTTTTGTGTCCCTTGGTATGAGAACTTTGTGTTTTAATCCAACTGTGATGTTTTTTCTTCTTTGTGTCTTCCAGCAAGCGGGGTTTCAGTGTCCGGTCCTTTGGAACAGGAACTCATGTGAAGCTCCCAGGACCAGCACCTGACAAGCCCAATGTTTATGACTTCAAAACCACATATGACCAGATGTACAATGATCTCCTCAGGAAAGACAAAGAACTGTATCCCATGGCTGACCCTTAGAGAAGCAGGGTGGTCTTCTGGTGGGTGTGATTTGTGACTGGAGTCACTCTGACCCCCACCCTGCAGGGTGTGTTTCAGGTGAAACAGGACCAGCAGATGTATTCTGGCATATGTGCCTGTGGTGCCTACATCAGTCCTGTTTTATGAGAAGTCAGCTTTGTCTTTTCTTTTCTTTCCTTTTCTTTTCTTCCTTCCTTCCTTCCTTCCTTTCTTTTTATTTCCTGTAAATTTGAGACAGGGTCTCACTGTGTAACCCTGTCTAGCCTGGAACTCACTCTGTAGACCAGGCTAACCTTGAATTCACAGAGCATCTCCTACCTCTGCCTCCTGAGTGCTGGGATTAAAGATGTGCAGTGCCAGCCCAGTGAAGAACTCAGTTTCTTTCCTTTTGCCTACTGGAGCTAGAGTAGTGATTTTCAACCTGTGGTTTGTGGTCCCCTGGAGTTTAAATGACTCTCTCACAGGGTTGCCTAAGACAATCAGAAAACACAGATATTTACATTATTATTTGTAACAGTAGCAAAATTGCAGTTATGAAGTAGCAACAAAAGTAAATTTTGCTTGGTGTCACCACAACATGAGGAACTGTATTAAAGGGTCACAGCATCAGGAAGGTTGAGAACCACTGGTCTGGAGGCATACCTGCAGACACAGATGTAAAACTTACCTTGATGTGATCAATCAGGAGGCTCTGATATGTCATTATGCAGTGGAGCACAGATGAGGAAATAGAAACTACAGAGTTCTGTTGCGTCACACTGTAGGCTGCCCAGCTGCTTCTGCAGAGGTGTGTCTGCACGCTAACATGTTGTTGAGGCCATTTGACATTTCTGTGTCTCTTGGAGATACAATAGCTGGGTTAGTGGCTCATGCCTGTGATCTCAGCCTTTGGGAAGCTAAGGTGGGGAGATTGCTGCAAGTCTTGAGGCCAACCTGTGCTATATAGTTTGAGGCTGTCTTGGGCTGTTGTAGAATAAAGACCCTGTCTCAAAATGAAAACACAATAAAAATGCTGTGTTTACCAAACAAAGCATGGAAAAATAAAGTATTCTGAGAGAACTTTACTTCAGGAAAGTTTGAATCTTGTACTATAGAATCATGAGAAAAGAAAAAAGTTTTGATTTTTGTTTTTTTGTTTTGTTTGATTTTTTTTGTTTGTTTGTTTTTGCTTTTTTGAGACAGGGTTCTCTGTGTAACAGCCCTGGCTATCCTGTAGCTTGCTCTGTAGACTGTCGCTGTGTAGACAAGGCTGGTCTCAAACTCACAGAGATCTGCCTGCCTCTGCCTCCCAAGTGCCGGGATTAAAGGTGTGTGTCATCACCGCCTGGCTAGAAAAAGGTATTTTAAAATAGGTTTTCCATACTATGTTCCATAATGGTTAAGCTAATCAGTGCTCCAGGTGTTTGAGTGGGTCATTTTATAACCTCCATACTCACTTGAAATTTCCCATGTTCATATACTTAGCATGTACATGAGGCCCTGAGATTGATCCTAAGCACTTCTAAATAAAAATTCTAGATGTTCTTTACTTACAGTAGTGCTCAGAGTGGAATCCAAATATTCTAAGCAAGTGAATGTGAATGAAAGAACTTATTCTTTTTCCCTTTGTGGTTTTGGAAATCCAAACTACAGCCTTGTACATGCTAGCCTAGGCTAGCACTCCTCCACTGAGTTATCTCCAAATCCAAAACTTTTTTTTTTAATAAGACATGTTTCTACTGTGTATCCCTGACTTGTAATAATCTCTGTAGGTTGGCCTCAAACCTAGAGGTCTACCTGCCTTTGCCTCTCTCTGTCTCTACTGCCTGGGTCCTGGAATTAAAGGTGTGGGCAACTTCATCCTGCCTTTTTCTTTTTTCCCTCCTCATCTATCTTTTCACTTTTAAAATTTCAGTCAAGGTTTCACTAAGTTTCCCAAGCTGGCTTTGAATAAATTCTAGCCCAGGTAGGCCATAAAAATGTTGCTATTCCTGCCTCAGCTTCCCCAGAGACTGAGATTACAGAGCTGTATCACTCCAGAAAGCATTTTTGTCTCCATTTTCTTTTTATATTCATATATTCTTGCAACTTTTTTGGTTTTTCAAGACAGGGTTTCTCTGTGTAGTTTTGGTGCCTGTCCTGGATCTTGCTCTGTAGACCAGGCTGGCCTCGAACTCACAGAGATCCTTCTGGCTCTGCCTCCCGGGTGCTGGGATTAAAGGTGTGCACCACCACCACCCAGCACATTCTTGCGACTTTTAATATAAACTAAAATTTAAGCAGTCCTGCACCTTTTAATATAAACTAAAATTTAAGCAGTCCTAGCTGCTCTGAAAGCTGAAGCAAGAGGATTGCTTGATTGCAGAGTTCAAGGCCAACCTGGGTAATTGGGAGAGTTAGCCTCAGTAGAAAGAAAGAAAGCATGCTCTGGGTATCACGACACAAGGCTCACTCAGGAGGCTGAGATGGGACGGTTTAGAGACTTTCTCGAAAGAATATAATAAAATATTTTTGTAGGTACAGAGATGAGTTAGGTAGCTTGAAGGGTCCCAAATGCCTTCTAGGGAAATGTAAATCCTTGTGGTCCCTACATCTTTGCCACCCCCACCCTGCTTCCCAGTACTCCCTCAGCAACAGGCTGCAGTTGAAAGGTGATCAGTCAGTGGGGACATTGGTTCAGAAACACAGGTATTTCCTGTTAGCTGCACACTTGCTTTGTGAGTACAATTGGGAGTGTTTGGAGCTGTGAAGTGCTTAGGGCCTATACCACAGTGATCCTGAGAGCCCACCCTGTGATCTGAGAGCACGTCTGGTACTTTACCCTACTGAGAAATCCAGGAACCTGAATTTGGAGGATTGAGTGTTCTCATCTTTTTGAGTGTTGGGTAGAGCAGGCTGTGTTCTGCTCACATCCTTGTCCAAAGAGCTACTAAGTGTGTGTGTGGGGAGGTCTCAGAAAAACGTCTTCCTGAAGCTGCTCTGGTGAGCGTGGTGTACTCCTTTCCTTTAGAATCACAGCAAGTATTACATAAAATCTCAGAGAGGCTCATTTGGGGGCTGGGTGGTTTCCTTAGCTCTAGGGAAAAGTTGAGGTTTTATTTCTTACTTTAAATGTCTGTGTACCGTTGAGCTTATTCTGAAACCTTAGCTGCTTTGAATTTTTTGTTTGTTTTTAAGATAGGGTCTGTATTGTGTAGCTGTGCCTGTCCTGGAACTTAGTATGTAGAACAGGCTGGCCTCTGTTGGGATTAAAGGCATGCACTACCATGTCTAGTTCTTGTCTGCTTTTGAAATTTCTTCAGTTAGTACTATTTATTTTAGATACTCTTTTTGTTGTTGTTTCATTTTGTTTTTGTTTTTCGAGACAGGGCTTCTCCCTGTAGTTTTAGTGCCTATCCTGGATTTCCCTCTGTAGACCAGGCTGGCCTTGAACTCAGAGATCCACCTGGCTCTGCCTCCCAAGTGCTGGGATTAAAGGTGTGTGCCACCGCCGCCTGGCTATTTTTGATGCTCTTATATTTTGTGAGAGAAATAAGCATGCAGTAATGGACATGTCCATACTCCCTTTATTATAAATTAAATTTTAATATTGATTCCAATTGTCTTCCCTGATTCTGGATGGGGTAGTTCTTAATATGTTTTACAAGAACGAAGTTTAGGCTTCAGCTATTTAGGTAGCTCTAAAAGGAGTGGAGACCAGCATCCAGGAGTGAGGATCTTTATAGAGTGCTGGTGTAATGGCCAGTGGCTGCCTCTTAAAATGTACAAAGTACCCGAAATGGGGACTATATGGATGGGCTTTTAATGTGTTGGGGACAGGAGTGGCAGGTAGCAGAGCTTTGGCTACCTTGGTAGTTTGGTGATAAGTCATCAGTATTTGCCTCAAAGTACCCTCTAGGCAGGTTACTTACCTCTTGGTCAGTCCTCAGGAAGCTTGTTAGTTATTTACTTCATGTGAGTAGTATTTTGTTCTAGGTGAGGCCAGAATGAGGCATAACGTTGTACCTAGTGCTTTGTTATGGTGTTCTCAGTACTATCCTTGGCCAAAAGAATGTCTCTTCCAGGGAATTTACTATACATTGGCATCAAGCTAGGTCAGATAAGGGCATTGTTGGGAGGGGAGGATAGAGGTAGGAAGGGTCACTATATGGGATACCCTTTTGTCCCAGGGCAGACCACAGGAGGAAATTGGGAAAAGAGTGGTGCTATTCTTTGAAAAGTAACCTTGATAGCATTCCTTAGTCAGTAGTAAGGGCCCCTGCATGATCTTGTATAAAAACCATAGTTTTGTAGTGGAAAGCTAGAAGAATGTTTTAAGATGTAACCCAAAGATAAACACTCTCTGCTTGCATTTTCAAGGGGGAAAGGGTTTTGTGAGTTGGTAGGAAAAAGATACTTGATTAGAACTGGGGGACTAGTGGCCTAGAGACCACCTCTGCCATATTTCTACTTTGTGTGGCTAGGGCCTCAGTTTCTCCACCTGTTCCCTCCTCATGAAATTCTAGTAAAACAAGCTGAGTATAATAGTGGGCACTTGAAAATGGCCTAGCACTTAGGCAGTAGATGTAGAAGTTAAAGGTTATGCTCAGCTACATAGTGAATTCAAGACTGGCTTGGGTTATATAAATCAAACCCTCTATCAATAAACAAAATAAATGAGGAAGCAGCATACATAGCATAGACCTTGTATTTTGTAACTCTCTGACAGATTTTAGGCACTTTTCGTGATTCTTTCGTGTGTGAGGAAGGAGTGGTCTTACTGTTCATGTAGCTTTGGCTGGCTTGGAAGTCATTTTGTAGACCAGGCTGGCCTTGAACTCAGAGTCCACTTGCCTCTACCTCCAGAACGCTGGGATTAAAGACTTGTGCCACCACACCCAGCCTTAGACATACTTGTTGATTTAGGTTGGGTTAATAGCTGATGAGACCATTGAAGGGATAAAAATGTAATAAATCAAAAGTGCATTTACCAAGCTGAGTGTTGGTGGCTCACACCTTT